ACATCTGTATGTATTTTCTAAAGGTTTGATCGATGGATGCTGGGTCATAATCCTCTTGTAGAAATGTTTGCTTTAGAATATTATGCTGCAAAGTGTAGTCCTCTATTGTGCTACAATTTCACTTCATCATACAAAATTGTCTGTAGGGGATGTTGCTCTTTCAACCAGGCTGATGACCATTACAATTGGTGAAAGTAGGAATTGCCTGTCATGGGCCTGAAATGGGTCATGGAACTAATAAAACCTTTTCAATCAAGGAATACTTCCAAATCTAAAAAAATAAGCCTCCCTTTATCAATCACAGGGGTGAAATTGGCGCCAAAAGGATTATTAGTACAGTAGCTGATACGTACATCAATAGCGCTATTGTTTCCTTGCCAGATAATCATGACATCAATGTAGCCTCTATAAAAAATTATATGCTTATTAAATGGGCTATTCGCCCTGAAAAAAGATCCTCCCAGTAGAGCAATCACCCTCCCCAAAAACAAACTGGCATAACTAGGAGAAAAACTAGGCCCTATACCTTTGCCAGAAATTTGAAGATAGGGCTGGTTCAAAAAGAAGTACTAATTATGTAAAATTAAACTTGCTAAATCCGCCAGAAAGTTGGCCTAATGACTATCTAAGCCATCATCCTTGGCAAAAAAATACTGCAGCGCTAGAATGGCCACTTGGCGGTGTACAAGGTGGTAACATCCAATAATAGCCAATAACAGTCCTCCTCCCATGTGTATTTGCCAAGAACAAATACATGGGCTGAATCTTCAATATAAGCCAGTAAGGCTGGTACCAACAGTTGTAAGAAGAAATCCACTATCTGATAAGCCACAATTGGCCTCCCAGGTGGACTGATCTGATTTTTGTGGGTCTTGGAGAGATGGTAAAAGTAAGGTGTACTGTAAAAGTCCAGGCAGAGGAAAGCCTTTTCTTTACTGGTCATAGTGCCTTCTTTTAGTACTTTGTCAGTGAGGGTAATCAATTCCTGGAAGGTGATCTTTTATAAGTGCAGCATATCTTCTGATAACAGTCTTACTGATTTCATAAAATAATCCGTGCAATCTAAGAGCACTCCACTGCCTACCTGGATTATCACACTACCCCTGAGCTTTTTAATGAGAATGGGGACATACAAGTAATCATCCTTGATGTCCACAGACCTAGAAAGTCTCCCTGATGGAGGAAGATTATGACAGACCTGGCAGATTCGAATAGGAAATTTTGGGCAGGAACTGAAGATATTTAGAATCTTGAGATTCAAAATGAGTTGGAGTAGAACCACTGACATTTTCTGCTGTAGGAAATTGAGTGATAAACCCTTTATCCAGAATATCTGCAAGGGCTGCATGGAAATCTGTTAATCAAAGTAGAGACACAGGCAGGCTGGAAGACCTGAAGCGGGAAGGGGACAGAGAGTGCAACTCTAGCCAGTCACCCATGGAATCCACCTCCTGCTGGCATCTGAAAATGTATCTTATCCACAAAGGCCAACAGACAACCCCACCACAGAATGGAAAGTGACGAAGCCCTTTATGATAAAGAGAATTTGTCAACAGGTTTGGAAAGCCAATGGTTTGCGATTTTGTGAATTAGGCACTGGGCTTGAGTCTGGCTTTAGAGGTAAGGCCTGAGAATAAACAAAGGAACTTATATTGGGCTCAGAAGGGGAGTTAATCTTTCCTGTTTGAGGCCTAGTCTTCTGATGAGGCAGAAGAATGCTTTTCCCCTGAGTGAAATCCTTGATGAGGGTGTCCAAGGCATCTCCAAAGAGATTCTTTTGCATGCCTGTTTTGCAGCCCAGCATTTCAATCAAGGAGTCCTCTGAATGTTCTATAACAGAATGCTCATACAGGAAATAAGACAAGTGATTTTTACTAACTCAGCAACACATTAGCTTAGAGCTGCTGGCATGAGCTCAAACAGCTCTGCATAGAGGGATCAGTTTGGAAGAAAACAGAATCTCTTCTTAAGACCATATTCTTTTTTTAATAGAATTTGACATGACTAGCATCATGGCCAAGGTAGGTTGGACTGCAGGGCCAGCCATTAAACAAGGTTTTGGAAATACTCTTCCTAAAAATAGATGCATCCTCTATGGACATTGTTCGTGTTTTTAGACAGGTATAGGGCCAGCCAAGGTGGTGCACTGAAACGGTCTTGGTAGTTTTAGGGCTTTTAAGGGATCCTAGACAGGTCGCAGTACTGATAGAAACCGCAGGCTGCTTTTTCACTTTCAAAGTAGCGCAAACAGCGTCAACAAGAGATAGCTGCCTGAAACGTCTCAGGGGCAAGATCATCTATTAAGGATTTCTGAGACTTTTCATCAGGCACAGCTTCTGCAGCAACCAGAGCAACCAGAGTTGCAATTTCATGTCCCATGAAATCCTGCATAGTTGCACTGAAATCCTTCTGAGAGAGAACAGAGGAGGGGACCACACCTGATGGAGTGAAGGAAGGCTCCAAAGACTCAAGCAAACATTCCAGGCTGTTCGTGTCATGCCATTGAGGGGAGCACTGCAGCCAGCATCAAAGCCATGAATGGATCATGAACTGGGGGGGACCCGTTACAACCAGGAATGCTACACGTGTGCTAGGGAGCCGACATGAATTGCAAGGGAGACTACATAGCTGAGGGTACCAGGTTGGGCTTTGGGTAGTCACAAACTGGCTGGATGGTTAAAGTGTTACTAAAGGCAGATTTTTTTTTTTTAAATTAAAATAACAAACATGTTATACACCACTTGCTGTGTGCAGTGGTAGTGCACAGAGTAGCCCCGACCCTCCTCTTCTCGGGTCCCCCACTGGTGACCCTGGTTCCTTCTCCCCTCTCTTCCCCTTCACACAGGTAAGGGGGAGTACAGGGAACTTAAAGATGCTTTTTACCTTAATGTAAGCAATGCATTAAGGTTAAAAAATGTTGTTAGATTTAGTATCACTTTAAGATGGCCAGAGCTCACTTTTTGTTTACAGCAAGAAAAATCCATGCGTCGCTTGTGGTAAGGAGCAGTGGTTACCTCATGCTGAATGGCGAGAACAAGAGACGAAGCAAGAACATACCTAATTTAATCAAGTGCATCACCAGTAAACAGATGGAAAATGGGGATAAGTGTGCCCAACAATCATAAGGGCTTGTTTACACAAGCTTTGCCCTCAGAACAGCGATCCCGCCCCCCCTTAGTCACTGGCTCTGATTAACAGCAGCAGGAGCCAATGGCCCCCGCTGCTGTATCTGAACCAATGGGAAGCAAGAGAGCCTCGACTCTTGTGCACATCGCTGGAATAAGATCAGGCTTAGGTACATATTTGGGGGGGCTACAGGGAAAGCTGCATTAAGGTTTTTTACCACTTTAATTGGTTATGTAGGGAAAATCTGACTGTAGAAAACAAGGAAAAATAGCTAGTAAAAACTGTAAACCTTTCTTAGAAGAGGAAAAAGGTCTCCATTCTTCCAGGACTCCAGCAAAAAACAGTGGCATTCTGAGTGTGGTTATAAAACGCTTAAGTGTAGCACACTAAAAGTTATAGAGGAAAGCCCATCCAAACAAGTAAAGTTGCACAAAGGGATGAGGTTTCCAGTCCAAATCCAAGGTTTAAGGGTGTTTTATTTTTTAAAGAATGATGTTCAATGACAGCAGTGCAGTCAGCTAGAATGGCGGCAGGCACTGTATCACATAAGATAAAAAGTTCCCAGTCCAAACAACCTAGCAAACTATAAAGCTCACGACTCATGGTGGGATGCAAAAGATGGCAATTGCAAAGTTCACATACCCATCTATATGGTCATGCATTTGGAGAGCAACTGCCAGTCAGAAAGCTGCTCTGAACCTTAGTATGTGCAAAGAAAGGGAAACCAACTCAAAAGATAGCCGACCTGTATGTGCAGACACCACCAGAAGTGATGGCATCTTACCAACATACTCAAAGCTTTGTCCTGCATTATGTAGTTGTACATAGTGTATCCCTTTATTCTGGGATTTTGCAGACTGATAGTGATTCAGCAAACTTTCTGCCTTTTCACCACAGATACCGCTTGGTCGGATGATGCAAGTACTTAAATAAATTTCCTTTGCTCATCTCTTCACTACAAAGGTCTGGGTTGAGGGCAGGCCCTTGGTGTCTTCACAATACAGGACAATTTGTGATGTCACAGCTGTGACTGCCTGCTGGTCCAAAGAGATCTTCAAGTTATCAGTTCCAGATGTACTGAGACAGGCTAACTGTCTTTCCGCCTAGCATACCTGCAAAGGTGGCTCTGATGACCATTAGCCAAGAGGGCTACTTTTCTGGCTAGAGCCTTTGTTTTATCATAAGACAGTAATGGCTCACCATGATAGATTGTGTCTTCTGTGACACACATTTATAACTTCAATTTCCCTAATGGCCGGTTCACACCATGCCCACACAGTACGTTCCTGTGCGATTCACTTGCAGTTCTATGCAGTGCAATTTCAGCCTATTCGTTTTGAATGTGCTAAAATCGCACTGCACCAAAAGTAGTGCATGCAGTACTGCAACCGGACTGAATGTTACAAAAGTACCACACGATCGGGTGTAGGCAGGTGCAGGCAAACATATGGAGCTTATGACATGCATTTAGGGTGTCCATTAACTTTGTACTGACAACCGATGCAGATTGCAAATGCAGTGCGTTCTGCATCGCACAAGAATGCACTCTGCGTTCCTGTGCGACTCAGACTGCATTCAGAACACACTCCATTTGCGATATGCAGCATGCGTCAATATAACTTTACATGTTTGGATGGGCTTTCCACTATAAAACTTCTGTTGCACTGCACTACAGCTTTTTAAATGTCTGCTCTATACTCCAGTGGAGTGCTAGTGGCATAAGTTTTGTGTTTTTTTTTCCACTTGGAGTAAAAGTTTTCCTGCATAGAAGTAGTGTTTACATTTTAGAGTTGTTATACTGGACTGGTCACTGTTTTTTGTTTACCAGTATACAAACCTCTTGTAGGCAGCAGTAAGAAAATAACTGTTGATCCTCACAGAAATCTTGTTGGTTGATCACCAGTTAAAAAATTAAAAATAAGCCTTACAAAACTAACACAACCCACACAAAGTAATATATTGCATTTTTGTTTTTAGTTTTAGATATGCTTTAAAAGTCCCATTCCAGTAAATTGACAACATGTCTTACATAAATGTGTTATACAGAAGTAGCAACAGATGATTACTAACCTGTATTTAAATCTCAATTTGTGCACAATTTCTTTCATTTTATCCACCTGTTCATCTCCGGCAGGAACTTTTTCTGTACCTCCAATTTTACGAATATCATCAGCAAATGGAATAAAAATGAGGTTGAAACCTGAAATTGAATATATTAACTATCATGCATCCTGCTAATGTATAGATTTCTAAAGAAAAAATGTAGAGAGAGAAATATATATGCTACCAACGTCAACCTCGCCTTTTGAAAATTTGGATTATGACGGATCAGAATTATAGCTCTGCAATCAGAAAAGCTCACATTCCAGATTGTAGAAATGTCCTTTTGAGTAAACAGGTGATGTACTGAACTGCTGCAAAAAGAATACTGCTTTTACACAGAGAGAAGCGTTACTATTATATTGTGTTAATACTGAGCCTATGATATGGAACAACCAACAGTGATACAGGTCCCCAAGCCCTTTGGTGTCCCTCTGTGCTGCACTAACCATGCCATATAACCCCTCCCTTTATTCCTTCTTTGAATAACTAATAATAGCAAGCAAAGTGAAGCGCATCTTCTTTCATGCCTCTGACCAGGTATAAATTTCTTACATTTTCAAAGAATTGCAACAGAAAGTTCTGCCCCGTCTACCACTATGCTGCAAACCTCTGCTCCATCATGATACACAGAAACACAGGGCAAAGATCGGAAATATCATTAATTCCAGTTATTGGTATGAATGACTGTCCATACCTCTCCCACAATGCTCCGGTAGCAGGAAGCAACCAGGTCATACTGCAGAACAGCATCAGAGGTGGAAATAGATTGTCCCCTCACCTTCCAGCTCATACTGTGCTCACAATATTGGAGCCACTCTATTTAGCATCATCATTTAAGGTTCCTGTTGTGCTGTACTGACACTATAGAGCAGCCTTGGCAGGGCAGAGCCACTGCTCTAATGCATTTGTGTTCAGGATCAAAACCCCATTGGAAGCACTTTAATCACCAACAATATCACGGCTTTTGTTTTCTTATCCTGTGAAAGAAATGTCAGTGGTTCAAACTACTTTGACCACTTACCTGGGGGTTTAATCTGTATATTGTCCTCATCAAGTTTTTCTTTTTGTGGCACCAAAGCCACAAACCGAGGGGGTGTATTCCTCCGAGGAGTACATCTGCAGATAGCCATCACTTGTTTTTCTAGGCATTTGATAAGTAATGCATGGAATAAGGTGCTGCTGCCTGAATGCATGTAAAAGATTAAGTGTCCAATGAATAATTATGTATAACATCACATCATGTAAACCACAAAAAGTAGTAATCTTTTTTTTCTTTTTTTTAATAGTTAGTCTTACAGCAAGTCTCCTTCACTAAGTCCACGATGTTAAGATTTCTGAACACACTGGCCCAAAGTAACCTTCTCATTCACATCACTCCATTCCTATCAATATAACCATTTAGAATCTACCAATAAGCAATTCCAGTAATTAAAGCCAATAACCTCAGCGAGTAAGCACTGCAGCTGTGGTAACATCAGAACGTTCAATCATTTTACTTAAATATAGGTTTTCTGTGATCCACTGCTTTGTAAATTCTCGCTCCCTGCATCACAAATCCCCCTTAATGTACACCTGCTCTAAGAAAAACATTTTGGATGCCATTGCCAGCCTCTTTAAAGAATGCTGGATGATTATGGTTGATTCTGAGTCAGTAACACAAACGAAGGATATGGTAAATGAAAGTACGAGAAGAGTCAGATTTTGTAATCTCTGTGACTTGCTCTGACAAGCAAGTTAAAATACTGAAACCAACGCATCAGCATAATAGCCAGGCAACTAGTATATTCAGCAGTGATCAGGAAATGGCAGCCTCCATATTTCTAGTTTGCAGTTTTGAATCTGGTGACTGTGAAAAGCTTCTAAGGTTCTGGCATATTTTTTTTTACATCATGCTTTCTGCAAATGAAAAGCAGCAAGAATCCTTCAATGGATATTTAGAAGCAGCAACTAAACAAGGATTTTCACATAACCAGATTAGTGAAAAAGGGACTAAGGAAGAATGAAAGCCCTACTATGCACAAAAAGCATAGGCTATGCCTTCTGTATTCATCTGAAGGATGATTTTCAATTTTGACTTTAGTGTGCTTTTAAAACACTATACATGTAGGCACTTTAATGATACTGAATAAGCATTAGAATTACAATGTAATAACTAAACAGTGCCTTTGAAAGCTTTCTTTAGCAGCCCTAGTGCCCAGAATTGCAAGTCTAAACACATCCTGAAAATACTGGCCACCGCCATATGCCTATTGGATCATCGTTCTCACTGGTAGCTTTATTGGCCAGAAGGAATGCAAGTAAGGCAGACCAATACCGAAGCTAAAAGCGATCAAGAGGGACCACTTAATTTTAATCCATAAAAAGTGCACAAACAAGGAATTATTTTAATGGCTGCATGCTTGTTAAAGACACATTACTAAGTATTGAAACCAGACAGCCAGGCAAATAACATTTTAGGAAGGAAGCTGGCAATGGCAGCCTGCATAGTTACATAGCTAATTAGACTTCCTTTAAATACCTCTTTTTCCACACACTAGAATTCATATGGCAGAGAAGAAAATGAATTAAACTAATGTGAAAAGGACATTTTATTCTAACATATTAATGTGTCTTCTAGTTATCTTAAAGTGTCATTAATCCCACATTATTTAAAAAAAAAAAAAAAAAAAAAAAAAAAAACTATCAATTGCTGTATTACATGCTGTTCATACTCAGTCACTGTGAGATTTGTTTAGTATATTCTGCAAAAAACCTAGTAGCTAATGTGACTATAGAATCACACATGTGGGAGTATACACTCTGATAAATGACAGCTCACTCCCTCCTCCATGTCCTCTAAATGGGGGTGGGATGTTACATCTTGATTGATGGAGGCTTCACCTGCCTGTTATACTAAGACACAGGATAGATTGGCATGACAGCCTGGGACTGGCAGAAAAACTAGCGCAAAAAAACAACACACAGAATAAAAGAAAATGTACACATTTTTACTGAACCCAGTAGTAAATTACAGTTTTACACATAAAATTCAACCATATTATTCCTTCTGCCCTACTGTTGCACACATTGTATTGTTCCCCAAAAGCAGAGGGACACTGAGGTCTAATTTTCGAAACGCTACGAGGGGCATTCAAGTCAAACTGGGACTTTTAATTTTACAGATATAAAAAGGGATGCAAGAATGGAGGTACTACATGCAGTAGTAAGCGGCAAGTGTGTCCTATTACTGATAGGCAGCACACGTTTTGGGCTAGTCCAGAGACCGTTAATCAACAGGGCAGACAACCGTGTTCATGCGTGCATGGAACAGTATGTGATGATGACGTTTCTTGTCAACGAAGGAATAAAACCCGCGGATATCTACAGAAGACTTCAAGCACAGTATGGTGATGAGGTGCTTAGTCACAGTAAGATATTTGAAAAGTGTAAATGTTTCAAAGATGGCCACATGGCCGTGGTGGTTCCCTGCGCACAGCAATGATTCCTGTGAATATTCACTGCATGGAACGTCTGATCCCGGATAATCAACGCATAACCTGACGTGAAAATTGCACAAGAGACGAATCTTTCTGTGAGAACGGTGAACACAATCATTCGCCAACATTTGCATTTTTTAAAAGTTAGCACAGAAGAGTTGAAGTCTGCACTGCGTTGAAGGAACGTTTTGACAGGGAAGGCAAGTATTTTCTGGATTGCATCATTACATGTGATGAAACCTGGGCACATCATTTCACTCTGGAATTAAAACGAGCATCAATGCAGTGGAAGCATGTGGACTCACCAACACCAAAAAATTTTCAAACAATTGTTTCTGCAGGTAAAGTGATGGAAAGTGTTTTCTGGGACGAACATGGCGGTATTCATGTGGATTTTCTACCCCTTGGTGCCACTTTTAACAGTGAATACTACTGTCATGTTCTGAGTGATGTGCATATGCATCTGTGGAAAAAAAAAGCCTTGTTTGATCACTAAGGATGTCCTGTTTAAGGACAATGCAGGAGCTCATACTGCTCACTGCACTACATGTACATTACAGCAACTTGGCTGGGAGGTATTGCCACATCCCCCTTACAGCCCGAACCTTGCTCCGAGTGATTTTCACCTGTTTGGATCCCTAAAAGAGTTCCTTGGAGGTCAGCATTTCAGCACTGACGACAAAATGAAGCAGGCTGTCCTAGGATGGTTTAGGTGACAAATTTTTTTCTATGCTGAAGCTTTCCAGACATTAGTTAAAACTCTGGGATAAGTGTATAAATGCAGCAGGGGAGTATGTAGAAAAGAAATGCAGTTTCCATCCTTTTGTTGACATTTGTTCTTTTATTATAGAAACGCAGAAGTACCGGTTTGACTAGAACACCCCTCATATTTAAACCATTAGCATGTGTTTGTACCTAATCCATTAAGGAAACTATAAAAGCCTTCTTGGCTGGACTTGTACTAAGAAATCATCACTGACACCTATAGCTTTTGTTTGGGCAAATATATCCATCAGTATGGTCCCCAAATATGATTTGCACTATGAAAGCCAAAGAATAAAAAAATCAAATGTTATCCATTTGAAAAATTAAAGCCAAATAACTTCAAGCCTTTTTCACACTGATCTGGCATGCTTCCCTCACACTTTTTGTGTGGGTTAGCTGTGCTTTGCCATAGATATCTATTATGTTTTACAGTCTTGGTATGCTTTCTGAAAGCGCAACAGAAAACACGCAGGCAAGGAGAAGCGCACAGGATCAGTGTGAAAGGGGACTACACAAAAGACGGATTTGCTGCTATCTGTAGAAAAAGTCATAAGCAGCCATTTTGGAGTTGCATACGCAGCTCAAGAATGGGCAAATATTGTATATATCTATTATTCACCTAATGGAAAACTGAGACCAGAAAACAGCCCTCCGATAAGCAGAAATTAAAAACCTGTTTTATATTTATGTATTGCACAGTGTACAGTACAGAGAAGTGCCAGAAACTTCTCAACACTGTTTGATAGAAGAGATTCACTTTTACTCACCACTGACAAGGGATTCCTCTGGATATACAAATTGTGCAGGTCTTATAAAATGATAATTCTTCAGGAATGTGATTGGTTTAAACCCAATCAAGACCAAACTGGGGTCATCAAATCTCTTCAGCTCTTCTGTCTCCTCCTTTTCCAGAACAATCTGCCTGTTGCCATAAGTCTGTGCAAAAAAGAAGAAAAGTAATGAAGTAATCCAAAATATTTTACATACTTGTTCTGTGGAAAATGTAACAGGACATCATTATAAGAGAGGGGAAAGGGGAAAGAGAGAAAGAGAGAAAGAGAGAAAGAAAGAAAAAAGAAACAGATTAAAATTTAAAAAGGGAGTCTTTTTTAACCAGCATCTTTTCTACCTTTATGATAGTTTTTTTTTCTATTAACAACCTTTTAGTCTGAGCATGACCTACATGAAAGTTTATTTCCTACATTCAATTGCTTTAAGTTCTATTATACTAGAATTTCTCCTGACTAAGCACAGTATCACACACACTCTAGAAAGAAAACCAGAAAACAAGTTGGTATTAAACAAGTGGAGATTAACTTTCACAAGTTCCATACCCAAACAAAAAGTTTAAAATAGAAAAACAGTATTTTTTAATCTGTGCCTTTCATTAAAAATAAATAGATCAAGAAATTTGCAAATGCGTACGTAAATCTGAAGGAAAGCAGCATTGTAATCAAGCCTAAAATGCTGTGATGCTTATCAAGTCCTCTGCATGTCATTAAAATATTCCATACAATAAAGATCTCGAAAAATTGACGGTTAAATGGAAAAAAAAAGGAATATTAAAAAAACCCCATTAATATTATGTACATATGCTGAAATAAAAACACTACCGACTGTACATTAAATGATATATAAAGTTGGGGAAAAACAGAGCTAGAGAAAGACTCTGGAATAATGATTTAAAGTAGGCTTAGCAGAACCACTTGATGGCAAATGACAGTAGAAACATTTAAAATACTCGGAAACATAAAAAGTGAGATGAAGTATGATATACTAGTTTTTTTATTGCCCGTGTCAATTGGGTATCACATTGTAAGAGACAAAGCAGTTATGGACAGGTTTGCAAGGTGGACAATTAGATTTAATAAAAAAAAAAAAATGTATTAATTTACAATAATTTTTCATAACAAACTGGTCAGAAATCAAAATGACGATCAGGAAAAATTAAAGCTGAATCAGTATTAAAGTCAGGTGACCAGCATTTTTAAGAGAGAGGACAGCAATGGGAGCTTTCATAAGGTTACATTCACATGAGTGGCCAATGGCAGATGGTTTGCCATGTTCAGAATCAGGTAAATTCAGCCTCTGGGGCAGAGGTAGTATTCATGAACCGTGTCAAGCTCAACCTCACCACAAAACAGCACAAGTCTATAGTAACAGATGGTAGAACAATATAATTGACGTTTTTAGGTGGAGGGATATTTGTAACAAGGTGGTCTGTAAGACTATGCCAGCCTTCTATAATGATTTTATGATGCACAAGTCGTTATATGGTTTTTAGTAAAACTTGATTTAGAGGTTTTTGTAGACCTTTTTTCAGTACCTTAAAAAGCCCAAATACTTGGTTTGTTTTGCATGTCTAATGTAAAGGGATTGCGGTAACTCCCCTGTTGAAGCGTTTTTACCAGTTTCTGAAAGTTAAGATTATGTAAACTCAGCATTTCATATTCCTGTCATGTGCCTGCTGTACTTGTATGAAAAAGTATCCTGTTCCCTTCATGTGAGATCCCTGGCGTTCCTGCCAGTCCCTCTGCTCTCATATTAAAAACTGACTACACTAGGCATGAGAATACTGCATGCTCTTCTCCAATGATTAGACTTCTGCTCACACAACCCCTCTGCACAGCCACTGTGCTGCTGTATCTCCTCCCCCAGCTCTCTGTTCTCAGCTGCATAAGGAGCTTAGAGGGTATGTGATCACTTATAAAAATGGGAGGAAAAAGGTATATCTATAGACAAATGTGTTTCCTTTTATTTCCATTGTAAAACAACCCATGCAGTTTAAAAGGTGAGGGTTTAATTTAAGAAACAGGCCTTTTATTTTTGCATGAGTTAACGCTGCCCATTCTTCTTGGCAAAATGCATCCAAGTCTTGTAAATTTTTTGGTTTTCTAGAATGAATTTAGAGTCTGGCAGCAGCATTCATGATAGACTGAAGAGGGGACAGCCTGCGATGAGGTAGGCCAATGAGGAGGGAGTTACAATAGTCAAGGCGAGAGATAACAAGGGAGTGAATAGGTTGCTTAGTGGTTTCCGAGGTTAAGAACGGCCGTATCTTGGAGATGTTGTGGAGGTGAAGTCTACAAGATTTAGACAGCGATTGGATTTGGGGCTGATAGGACAGATGGGAGTCCAGGATTACACCTAGTACCCTGGCATGAGGGGAGGGACCGATGATTGTGTTATTGATCGTGATGGAGAAGTCAGATGAGGGGGCACGGGCTGAGAGGAAATACTAAGAGCTCAGTTCTGGAAAGATTGAGTTTGAGGAAGTGGAGTGACATCCATGCCGATATGTTGCTTAGTAATGCGAGAGGAGACTGAAGGGGTGAGGTGAGGAGTAGAAAGATAGATTTGTGTGTCATCAGCATAGAGATGGTACTTAAAGCCGTGGGAGTTTATCAAGTGACCAAGGGAAGAGGTGTAAATGGAGAAGAGAAGGGGTCCAAGGAAGGAACCTTGAGGGACCCCTACAGAAAGAGGAAGTGGAGAGGAGGAGGCAGAGTTATAGGTAACACTGAAGGAGCGCTGCGATAGGTAGGAGGAGAAGCAAGAGAGAGCAGAGTCTCTGAGGCCAATGGAGTGGAGTTTTTTGAGGAGGAGGGGATGGTCAACTGTATCAAAAGCCGCAGAGAGGTCAAGTAGTAAGAGTATGGAGTAGTGGCCATTGGTTTTAGCTCTTAGTAGATCATTACTGACTTTTAGTAGGGCAGTTTCAGTGGAGTATAGGATGGAAGAAGAGGGTGACCGTAGTAGTTGTGAGGGGACAGGATCCAGGGGGCAGGTAGTGAGACAGGCTTCTGAGAAAACCTTAGTGACCTCTTCGGTAGTAGCAAGGTCAAAAGAGGAAAGTGTTGAGGGAGGTTTAGTATAAGATATGCTAAGTGGGATGGATTTCTGTGCAGTGGCGATGCCCCTACGAATTGCATCAATATTGTTATTGAAATAATTTGCAATCTTCCTGAGCAGTGAGTGAGGTGCTGGGTGGAGATGGAGGTGCAGAAAGTAGAGCGTTAAAAGTAGAGAAGGGACAACGAGGACTGGATTACAAGTTATTGATGAGAGTGACAAAGTAGGCTTGTTTGGCAGCATGGAGGGAGGAATTGTATGTTAAGAAAGCAGATTTATATAAGGTGAATGCTTGGTGAGATTTGGTTTTACACCACAATCGCTCCAGCGCACGACTATGTCGCTTAAGATTTCTGGTGTCGTCAGTCTGCCACGGTTGTAATGGTCAGGGCCTGATGCTTCATGTTGTTAGAGGAGCAAGTGAGTCTAATGTGGATGAAAGCGAACTGTTGTAGACAGCAGTGGCCAGGTCAGGGCAGGGCAGGACAGGGGAGAGATTCTGTCATAGAGTTGGTCGGTTGCAGAGTGGAAAGGAGCAGGGTTCAAGTTGTGAAGGTTTCTGCGGGTAATTCTGCTTGGAGGGATAGGTGTTTGATAGGTGTTTGAAGATGAGGACACTGTGATGAGGACACTGTGAAGGTGATGAAATTGTGATCAGAGAGAGGAAAGGGGGTGTTTGTGAGGTTGTAGGGAGTGCAAAGACGGGAGAAAACAAGGTCTAATGTATTCCCATCAGAGTGAGTAGAGGACTGTATACATTGTGCTAATGCAAAAGATGAGGTTATGTTGAAGAGTTGGGATGTAGCCGGGTTGTGGACATTAATGGGGATGTTAAAATCTCCAAGAATGATAGTGGGTAGTTCAGAGGAGAGAAAGTAGGGTAGCCAGGCGGAGAAATAATCAAGAAAGCGGGACACCGGTCCAGGAGGCCGATAGATCCCTGCAATCTTCAGAAAATGGGAGAAAGCCGAATGCAGTGAGTCTCAAAAGAAGAGAAGGATAGAGAGGGAGGGTTATAGAGGACTTGAAAGGTGCTCAGTGGGGATAGAAGTAAACCAACCCCTCCTCCTTTCCGACCACTGGGTCTGGGTGAGTGGGTCCAGAGGAGGCTTCCATAGGAAAGTGCTACGGAAGAAGAATCTGCTGCTTGAAGCAAGGTTTCTGTAATTGCTAGTAGTAGGTTAAGGGAGCAGGAGACAAAAAGGTCATGGACAGAGGTGAGCTTATTACAGACAGAGCGAGAATTCCAGAGCACATATGAAAAAGGGAGGGTGGTATTTGGGAGCACGGTGACTGATATTAAAATTGAGGGGATTGCGGCTATTCCTGGAAGGAGGGTGCCTGGTGTGGGGGTGAAATAGAGGAGGACCAGGGTTTGGGGAGATATCCCCAGAGGTTAGGAGAAGAAGGGTGAGGAAAATAACAAGGGAGCGGGATGTATAAGTGTACATGCTTTCCAGTCCTGGTGTTTGGGTCAGCAAGAGAGTAAAGTATCAGCAGGAGGTGATGACAGCAGTATTAGGGAGATGGTAGCAGTGAGGGTGAGATGTATAAGTTTTGGGGTGGAGCAGAGGGGTAAAGAACTCAGATTTTGGGAACGCAGGATAGTAATATGAAAAGGAGACGTAGAGGTGACATATTACAAAGGTACACGGAGCAGGACTCAAGACTTGTAGGAGATGTTTTCCCAGAGTGTTTGCTTGCAGTCTATCCAGCGCGCAGTAGAGTTCTTTGTTGTATCTTCCTGCTGCTTGAGGTATCCTGCTTTAGTTAAACTGCTGTGTTCAACTGCGTCTCCGCACTCCAACAAAAACTCCACTCACACAGAAAACTGAACCCCATCTGCGACTCTGCCCCCCCCCCCCCCCCCCCCCCCCCCATCAGTGACCTCCCCCTATGAGCTGATCTAAATTTATAGGGAGATGGTCAAATGAGCATTCTTCTCCGCCCCAATTAGGAAATGATAAGGATCACATGAATTGGGGGGATGTTTCACAAACACAGACCAGACACAGGCCACAGTCATAAAAAGAGTGCAACAAGGAGGTGAGAACTAACCAACACAGACAAAAATATATACACTA